TTCTTTCTTTCTTTCTTTCTTTCTTTCTTTTTTTCTTTCTTTTTTGTTTACTTTTCAAGACAGGGTTTCTCTGTGTAGTTTTGGTGCCTGTCCTGGATCTCTCTCTGTAGACCAGTCTGGCCTCGAACTCACAAAGATCCACCTGGTTCTGCCTCCTGAGTGCTGGGATGAAGAGCGTGCGCCACCGCTGCCTGGTTCAACCTGCCTTTCATAAAGGAAGCACTCCTTTGCTCTGTTTGGATACACACATTTTGGATTCAAGTGATCATTCCTCATGCTACAGCTCTTGTTGGGAAATAATGATGAGGCAATGTTTAAAACCTGTCAGAGGCAAAAACAGAGGAAGCCAGCTTAGAGCAGGTGCAGGTAGCTGAATGCATGTGCCCCTGTTGCCAAAGGAAAGCATAATACAAAAAGGTGACTGCTGAGGCCTCTTAGATGGCTCAGTGGGTCAGAGTTCAATCTCCAGGACACACATGGTGGAAGGAGAAAACTAAATTCACCTCCCCAGGGTTAGCCCTTGATTTCCAAATGCATTCTCTGGAACACACACACACACACACACACACACACACACACACCAATACACACATGAATAAGTGTAATCAAATATTTTAAAACTTCAAAAGATGACCGATACCATATCCATCAGCTCTCTGCTGCATATAAGAAAGCCAGACCAGTGATGCCTTTAGTCTAAGTACTTGGGAGGCAAAGGCAGGTGGATCTCTGTGAGTTTAAGGACAGCCAGGGCTATATAGTGAGACACTGTTTTATTTTATTTTATTTTATTTTAAAAGGGTACACATTATTGAGCATAAATCCCTTACATCGGGAAGAGGCAGCGAGGTACAGTGAGCAACCCCGAGGAGGGGGTAGTGGGTGGATAGAGAAGGATGGGAGCCTAGGAGACCAGCTGCCTTTAGAGAAAGTTAGCTTGAATTAAAAAATTTTTAAATTTAATTTTATATTTTTAATTAAAATTTTTCATATAATAATTTTGATCATTTCCCCTCCTCCAACTCTTCCAGAGCCACCCAACTTTGTGTTTTCTCTCTCTCTCTCTCTCTCTCTCTCTCTTTAAAGCATATGAATGTTTTACCTGCATGCATGTATGTACACCACGTTCATGCCTGGTGCCTACATAGGTCAGAAGAGGACCCATCCCCAGGAACTGGAGCTACAGACAGTTGTGAGCCACCACGTGGTGTTGGGAAGCAAACCCAGGTCCTCCGCCAGAACAAGTGCTCTCAACCACTGCTGGGCCTCCCCTCTCGCTCCCTAACACTTTTCCCCCCTTGAGGCAGAATTTTATTTGTTCCCCACTGCCTCCACCTTACCAACACTGGGATTTTAAGCTTGTGCCACCAAGTCTGGTTTATGTGGTGCTGGGGATCAAACCCAGGTTTCTTGCATGCTAGGCAAATCCTCTACCAACTGAGCTAAGTTCCCAGCCCCCCCTGGGAAGGCTCAAGGCCAAAGAGAATATGGACACTGTGCTCTCTCTCTCTCCCTTTTCACTAGGCTGCCAGCAGCAACTGGTGGGAAGAATAAAGCCCAGAAGGATGGGGCGCAAAATTCAGGGAAGGCTCCTAAACTGAAGCTCTGCTTAGAGAGGGGAGGAAGAGACATGGAAGAGACCAGACAGGAGGCTGGTGAGAATCCTTCAGAGCAAGAGTCATGGAGAGTTGTGCCCAGGTACTGTCTTACCTTTAGGGAGCGCAGCTAAACACTTGGCATCAAGGCCTCGCCTGTGGTTGGTAGGCTCTTCTTTATCGTCAAAGCAAAACTCTTTCTGAAAGCTAAAAGTTATTCCATTAATACAGCATTAAATCAGGATGTAGAATATTAAGTGAAAAATACGAAGTATAAAACCCATGCTGTCAATCAAATGTAAGTATGTGTGTTATACTGATGACTTTTTTCACTTATTTACATTTATGTTAATATGGTAATGTGTGTATATGTATTCAACTGTGTATTACACTGGCATTAGTAGCTGCTTATTGTGTGTGGTGGGAAAAACACAGCCAAACTTGTGAACCATATTCCTCTATTCAGACTAGCAACACTCTCTTGATCCCAGAACAGCTGAGTGAGTCAGGCTTACACACCCAACCTTCCAGGGCTACAACCTCTTCCTCAGAAAGCCAGCAGCTTTGTTGAGGCAGTCTGGATGCTTTTTCCAGAAATGAATTATATTTATATTATAGGTGCCTTCAAACCATTAAACAGCAGCCAGGGCAAAAGGGAGGAAAGTCCCAAGAAAAAGTCCTAATTACAAGAGGAAGTGAAGGGGAGACGGGTACAAGAACGGAGCGCGTCCTGTCTCCTCCCCATGTACTGACCCTAGCCCCAGCCACGATCCCCATTGTCTTCACGAGACTCCAGGTCCGCACGACCCGGAGGTGTCTAAACGCCTGGCCACTGGCTGGCCTGCTTTGCAGTTGTTGCTGTGGTTTGAATATTTATTTCCACCAGGGCTGGCTTCTTGCTAATTATCCAAAGGTGAATTAGAGGACAGGGAAGGTGAAACCCTGCCACCTCATAATTTGGGCTTTCTTTGCTGGTGTCCAGTGGACTGTATTTCTTGTAATGCATACAGCCCCTCATGCCATTGGCACATTGGACATTTGCTGTCCTGCCAGGTGGGCTACTGCAGTCAGCTCACACATGAAATAGGAGCAATGGCTTATTAACTCTAGTGTCCCATTGAGCCAAAGTCACCAAAGTGTTTGACTTCCAATTTATACTTTTCCTATCCTTGACTAAATAATGCCTCCCTTCTCTCTCCTTGTCCTTATCTTTCTTTTTCTTATTTACTAGCTTTATTATAATTAAGATAATCTGCTAGGGAAAGGTTATGGAATGAGACCAAGGTGCCATTAAGACCTGAACCATGGGCAACTCAAATAATACATTTGTGCTTTTGTTAACTGTTATCCCGAGTCACGGTTCTCATTCACTTTATACTCAGATAGGCACCGGATATACCAGAGACTTTCCCGTGTAGTGTGTTTATAAGATCCACTCTCCAACAGTCAGCAGATTCAGACAACTCATTACTACAGTGTGAAGGAACCAAGTGCTCTGTAGCAAAGTGTCAGAGCCACAACAGATTAGGGACAAGAGCACCTGCTGGGAAGGGAGGCAGGCGCAGGGGTTGGCTCATCCTAGCACAATGATGTCCAGGTTGCGACCCATGCCGAAGTGCACTGGGGAGGACTCTGCACCTGGGCTTAGAATTGTCTGATTGTGTTGTGGGCAGCGGCCTACAGGGAAAGACCCAATGCAGCCACCTCGGGTGGCACACTCTTTCAGTTTTGCATTGTCTTACACCAGCAATGTGCTACAGGATCTGAGTATACCGCAGGTAAATTAGACTGGCACCCATAATGCCCCGAGGGCAAGGAAGTTGACCACAAGAATTCACAAGGGCAGGTGGGTGGGTGCAGAGAGGGAGGCAAGAAAGGAAGATGGGTGGGAGGGAGAAAGTGACAGGAGGGACCAGGCTAAGCCCTTGCTTAAAAATCAAAAGCTCCCGGATGAACAGATTCAAAAGCTTAGAGGTGGGTAAGAGAAAAAGAAAGCTAACATCTCCTAAAATGCCAATTAATTACAAATGACACAAGCATACATTCTATTCCCCAAATGGTTCCCAGAAACAGCGTGGTGTATAGAAAAGTCGCTATTGTCTGGGAATACTGTTAAGTCATCTTGCTTCCCACAGAAAGAGAGACAGACAGACAGACAGACAGACAGACAGACACACACACACACACACACACACAAGCGTGTGTTTTGGAATTGAACCTGGTACTTTGCACAGGCTAGGTAGGAACTATACCACTGAGTCATGCCACCAGCTCTTGATATAACTAAATAAGACCCTGGGCAAAAACACACCACCAAACAAACTCGTGGGTTAGAAATCTGGGGGGCATGAGGTTCACTGGGAAGCATTTGCCTAGCATGTGTGAGGCCCTGAGTTCTATTCCCAGCTCTTCACAAGGACAGAAGGAGGGATTTAAGGGGTTATCTTAAAAGCCACCACATATCTCCAAAGCCTAAGAGTTCTTGAACACAGACTACGTTACCTGTCAGCTTTTCTTTGATGTGGGAATCCGATGAAGCTCAAGTTTTTCCTGTTGAAGTCTAAGGGAAAGAAATAGCACAATGTTAAAATAGTTACACAGTCACTTAGGAATATTCAAACGGGAAGATGCCCTTCAAATTCCCCTTGAACTTGTAATTTAAGTAAAAAGGACATTATTAACCAGATAACAAAACTGGCACCTTCTGAGAATCAAACTCGACACACGAATCTCACACGTAAAGCTCTGGTTTGCTCTCTTCCCTTCTGAAGGGGCCCCTGCCCAGCTCACAGGTTAAACAAACACTCTGACATCCTTCAGAGCCATTTCAACTAGTTATGGAAAAAAAAAAAAAAAGAACTCAAACAATTAAATACCAAATAACTGTTATATACTGAGGAGGGGGGAAAAGAGAAAATCATTAGGCGATTTGGGTCAAGATAAGCAGAGAGAATGAGGTAATGGGCCTGGTGGATTAGAGATTCCTTTAGAGCAGGTGGGGAGGTGGGGGCGGCGCTGAAGAGCAATGGGTGTGTCTTTTCTGCTGTTATTAAAATCTAGACAACACATGTGCATGTTGTGCGGGTATGTGTGTGGAGGTTGGAGGACAACCTGCAGGAAACACATGCATATTGTGTGTGGGTATGCATGGGCCACAGTACAATGTGGAGATCGGAGGACAGGCAACCTGCAGGAAACACATGCATGTTGTGTGTGGGTATGCATGGGCCACAGTACAATGTGGAGGTCGGAGGACAGGCAACCTGCAGGAGACACATGCATATTGTGTGTGGGTATGCATGGGCCACAGTACAATGTGGAGGTCGGAGGACAGGCAACCTGCAGGAGACACATGCATGTTGTGTGTGGGTATGCATGGGCCACAGTACAATGTGGAGGTTGGAGGACAGGCAACCTGCAGGAGTCAGTTCTCTCTACCGTGTACGTCCTTGGACTCGAACTCAAGTCATTGAACTCAGGGGCAAGTGCTGCCTGGTGAGCAAGCCCACTGGACAGACTCATTTATTTTTGAAGATAGGATATATGATGTAAAGACAGCTGGTAACAATTCCGTACAGGAAAATCACACATCCAGGGTGAACGTGTTAATGAAAACCAGGCGGAGACAGGATATAGAATGGGTCTCACAGCCAGCAATCTGCTTTACAGCTTCAGGCACAGGGACCAAATACAAGCAGACCTGGGACAGAAGCTCCCTCCCTCAAGGAAGTACCTTTACGGTTTACTATTTAGAACCAGAGCCCCGACGGGATAAAGGTACAAGATAAAGCAGATGCCAACACTTCTTTATCCATCCAAACACATCTTAGGTCCTAGAAACTGGAAATTCGGGCCAACACGGAGGCACAGTGAAATGAAAAGTATAAAGCCAACTAGACATCCAGGTTTCATCCCAAGCACACACATGCATCCTGTCATAACTATCTGAAGAAAGACAATTCTGATTGAAAAATAAAAAAGCTAACGAATGTTATAAAAGGAAGTTCCCGAACTGTTCTAGCCTAGTCCCAACAGAACACTTGTGCTATGAAATATCCTGGGTAGATAATGACTGGATTTCAAATCGGCATTTAAACACCCACAGCATCTCACTTTTGTTCCAACACCACATATGTAACAGCACTTCAGCAATCAGATGGGAAACATTTCTATTTCTCGGCTGGAAAAGAAGCCACTGAAAAGACAGTATTTTCTCCAAACTGTCTCACATGAAGAGTTAAGAAAAAGAGACTCACCCACCACTGCCTGTTGGAAGTAAGTTCACATGCAAGACATGTAGTTCCAGAAAATATTTTAGGTATAGCGAAGCATATCCAGAATCTGATCCAATATTTGGAATTTAATTAGCAACTTTGCTATACAAAAGCTTTTGTGGTTTAGCAACGAAAGATAAAAGACATTTTTCAGCAATTATAGGTGTAGTTAGGGATTCTGATAGTTAAAGCATCCTTTCAGAGAGAGAGTCAGCTAGCCGACTAGCTGGATGCTGGAGAATACTGGATTCCACAGCAAAGACATTAGAAAATGGATACAGAAATGCATTTTCCATATTTCCCCATCTTACCTTGTTTCTCGGAAAATCTGAAGGCTCCCAGGCAGCTAGAAAGCCCTGGGTTCCTGAACATGGTTGCACACAGAACACTGGGGCACCACCAGCCTGATTTGACAGCTAATTCTTAACCAGCAGTGGCCTTGGGCCGCTTTCAGCAAAATTGGGTTGCAAATTTCCAGAGTGCAGGGCTAGAGTGAGCAACCAGGCACGTGTGTCTTCCAGCTTACAGTGAACACAAAGCAAAAGGCTGCAACAAATCCGATCCCGTCATCAGATTACAAGCAGAAATTAGAGCTGGAGATGCTTGCAAACCGGGTTCCAGGGAGAGAGTATTTCGGATTATGCCCCAGCAAGGCCTCGGGGAATCACAGAGAACACTTTGCCCAAGAAGAAATGCAGAGACCTAACGATTGTGCCAGCCTCGAAAAGAACTCTCCCACGTTTCTGAAAACCAAATAGCCCCAAAGAAGAAAACCCCACAGAGGGACTCAACGTGTTGGGGCGCGGTGAGGTGCCTAAGTGTTCCCAGGCTGCCCCAAGCTTGGCTTTGGCTGAGCTAAATAAAATATTTCACTTAACCGGGAGCCAAAAATTCATACTTAAGAGTTAAGATTTATAAGCAACATATGAGCAAAACTGTGGAAAAAGAAAAGGCAGATATTACCAGGAGAGTCAACCATTTTAATTTGAGACAGAAGACATTAAGCTTTAGCAATAAGGCTGCTGCCTGCTCTCTCCAACTGCAGTCTGTAGCGGGTGGACTCAAATCTGGATAATGAATTTGGAAGAACAATCGGCAATAATTAGAGATGGATTGTTTCCTCCCTACAAAGGGACATTAAAGAAACCCACAGGAAACAGGCTCCATTACAGGAGAAGGAAACAGGACTAAGGAGGTAACCTGCTTCCAGGAGACAATGGGAGAAATGGATCAACGGGGAGCAGGGTCAAGAACATTATTTGGCTCAACTCCATGCAGTAGCAGGGACCCTGAGTTTGTCTGCCTTTGTATCTTTGGCCTTGAACATGCATTTGGATCTAACCAGCATACAGTAGGTCTGCAGTAAATATCTGCAGAATGACCGTATGAAATAATGGAATCGTCTTTTCTGAAAACTTTGGACTTTGGGGTCTACTATCAATCCAGTTCAGCTTAGATACAAATACAGCTGGAAATGAGGAATCAATGGATGGACAGATGGATGGTGGGGTAGATGGGCGAGTGTGCTACTCTCTGAAACTAAAAGACACTCTACACTCTCAGGTAGAGGAACATGGGTGCTAGCTGGTGGCACTGTGTGGGGAGGTGATGGATGTCTGAGGAAGGAAGCATGGCTGGCAGAGGTGGGTCACTGAGACAGCCTGTGGGGGTTACTGTCCAAGCTCTCTGCTTCTCAATCCACTGAGATGTGAGGAGCCTCAGGTGCGCAGTCCACAGCAATGGATCCCACTGTGCTTTCCTGACAAGATGAACTGTATGCTCTTAAGTTGAGACCCTAAATCCTTTCTCCTTGTTGTTTCTGTCAGGTGTTTTACCACGGTTGCCAAAGAGGAGCTGAGACAGTCTGAGACAGTAGGACACCAACAGTCAGGGTTTTGTAAAACCGGCGGGAGAGAGACCTTGGTGGGTTGGAGCCAAGGGGCACCACGGAGGGTGAGAAAAAGACCTGCCAGGCAGACACAGCAGGTGTTGGTCACAGAGGTGGAAGCCTGGGGGAAAGACACACCATGCAGGCCGTACTCACGTGGAAAGTTTTATTAGGGAAGGGAAAGGGACAGGGGGAAGAGAGGAAGAAAGGAGATGCAGAGCAACCTCGTGGGAAGAGAGAGGTAGGAAGAGAGGAAGGGAGAGGGAAAGAGAGAAAGGAGAGGGAGAGGGAGAGGGAGAGGGAGGGAGGGAGGGAGAGAGAGAGAGAGAGAGAGAGAGAGAGAGAGAGAGAGATGCACACACAACCTCCTGGGAATAGAGAGCAAAGCAGGAGGGGTTTTGTCTTAAAGCAGACTTTATGTAGAATGAAGTAGTCAGGACACTGGGCAGGCCAAGGTATTGCCCGCTTATTGGCTGGGCCCCCAAGGGGTGGGTCTGAAAGCTAACACAGGGTCCTTCTGGTGTTTTCTCTACGTGCTCAGTTACTTCTTGTTAGCTCAGGAAATGGTATATAAAATTGTTAAAAATAAAAATTGAACAAACAGAAACAAACCATGGAGGAACACTAAGTACTGTGGATACAGTCCACCACGGGGGGGGTGGGGGGTGGACTGCTGAATGTTCATCTTTTGGGCAGGGGATGGGTGTCACACGAACTCTGTAGAGTGAGGGAAATGATGCTTGGGAACAAAGACAGAAGAGGATTAGAAGAATTGCTAGAATTGTTGGCCTCGCCTCTTAGCCCAACACAAAGCAGATGTCATGGAAGAAAGAAAGAAAAAAGTTCTTTATGAAACAGTGGGTATAGAACTGAATCTTCTCCTAAATGTTCTATCTGTAGGAAACCTAGTGAGATCAACGAAACCTACATTTCATGTCAATAGGAAGCATCTATGAGGGACTGGAGAGGTGGTTCATTGGGTAAGGATACTTGCTGTGATATGTGACAAAGGGCAGACGTGTTAGACCCCCAGGGACAGCACAGCTCACTGCTGTAGCTCAGACTCCAGGGGCCCTTGCAATACAAGAGACAGCTGTTCTTGCAGAGGTCCCTCTCATAAGGAGTATATGGGAACAAGAGCAGCCAAGAGGGAGACTACCAACTTCCGAACTGGTAAATGGCCACTCGGTTTCTAATGATGTGGAGACCTGCATCCTTTGCGTCCTCACTTCCGTGCTTAGTGCTTGCAGGCACTGGACCCATCGTGTCTTCCCAAAGCCTGCCAGGGAGAGCCTGGGATGTCTCCACTGCAGATGAAAAAGCTGAGATAGATGGTGTGGGGATATTTCCTGGGGAGATGTAAAGTCTATTCACCACAGCTAGTGAGGGCATGGGCAG